TCTACTATTGGTTGACATTACATATTCCATCAATAGGAGAGCATACAACGTGATTTAAATCAATCTAGGTGGGTCCAAATCCGCTCGGGCCGAATACGCTATAAATAATTACCATTCATTACTTTAAAAACACAAATTCACTAGGTAATTATAATTAGAAAAAATAGCTACCTCATCCCCGATTTTAATGAAATTATTTGAGAGGCTCATTCGATGCGTTTTCATTCAAAACGAAAGAATCCGGCAGAAAAACGCGGCTTCGTGAATCGAGATATTAATGGCCGCAGCACAGACTCTTGCATAACGCAAAATGCATAGTACAGAAATCGACCAATTGAAATTCTTCTTTTCCATGGAATGGGAGAAAAGGAAAGACTCTGATTAATTGATTCGCTTATGCATTATGCATTATGTAAAAGTGTGTGCTGCGGCCTTTAAACGTTATAGGCATTCTACAATAAGCCGCAAGTCAGAACGTCAGAGGTCTTAACCAGTCTTAACCAAGTCATTCAAGTTGGCTATTGGCCAACTTCACCGACTATGACTTAAGATCGCTTAGAACTCCTGACTTGCGGCTTATTGTAGAAGGCCTATTATAATTGACGACTATTGAGGTTAGGAAATCTGTCACACAGAATTAATGCAGCGCTATTTACATGGACTTTGGTCTGTATTTATTTAGAATTGCTACCTCACCTCTGATTTTAATTAAATTGGGCTCATTCGATGCGTTTTCACTGAAAATTAAAGTTGCTCTGTGCCTGCTACGCGAAAAGTTCTAAAGTCGTGTGGAATCGCTTCGCTCATGGATTTACAACAGTGTTGCCGCGGGCCGCGGGTCGAAAAATAAATTCACCAAATGGGAGCCTGAAAAGTTACTAAAATGTCTGAAAAATTACCAAATGTGGGAAACCAAAAAAAAAAATTTTTTTTACAGACTTTTAAATCGTGTCGGGATATGCCACGCCTCAAATAATTTATGTTTGAGTAAAAAATTATTCAAAACCAATATTTTGCAATTTTTCGCAGCGGCGAAGACGGCCGACTCGATGCCGGTAGGTGTCTGCTTGGTGGGGGGTACAAGTGGTGGGGCTGGTTTTCCCGAGTGATGGGCTGTGTGGGAATAAAGTGACGCATGCGCACTAAGCAAACGCTATGGCTGCTCAGTAATGTATCTTGGTAAGATCTAAGGTATCGTTAGATCTCTAGCAAGGAAGGAAATATGAAGAGAGTTACAAAGAGAAGAAAGTTCCTTTAAACAAATAGAATAAATAGTTAATACAAATAATAATAAAGAAATGTACTTGTTTGTTATTTTTTACGTCTGCAGCTGATTTATTACGACGCGAACAAATTTATATTATCATAATTTTCTATTGCGCATTTGTTTATTTTTGCCTTTTGTTACACAAAGATTACCTACCTCTCGCAAAAAATGCACGAAAATTCGTAAAGACTTAGGGTGAAATCACACGGTGCGTCATAGGGCTGCGGAATACGGAATGCGTCATTGAAGCAACCAATCAGCGCTATTCCGCACTTTTCTAACACGCAAGTTTTGTGTGCTATATTCACATGATGCGTCGAAGATGCATCCAGGATGAATAAATTTAGGAATTTCTAACTTTATGTTAATAATTTGCTTATTAAAATAAAATATAATTTCTCAAATTGTAAAAACAATTATTACTGTTGTGGTATTTAATATTTTACAATTAATATTTACAATCTCAAAACAATGTTTTGATCAGCTGTAAAGAATTTACTATCATTTTT